GCCAGGTGAGCCCATGGCACATGGATAGTGATCCCTAACCCACAGCCAGGAACACCTGGAACACAGCCCACAGAGCACAGCTATTCCTGGGAGCTCTGTCTAAGCACCGGAGACAGGGACAGGACAAGGTACACCAGGACAGGCAGGTACAGTTGTTCTGCCTGGAAAAGAGAAGGATTTGGGGAGGCCTTAGAGCCCTTTTCCAGTGCCTAAAAGGGCTCCAGGAGAGCTGCAGAGGGACTTGGGACAAGGCCTGGAGGGACAGGACACGGGGAATGGCTTCACCCTGGAGAAAAGGAGATTGGGGTGGGATATTGGGAAGGAATTCTTCCCTGTGAGGGTGGTGAGACACTGGCACAGGTTGCCTAGAGAAGCTGTAGCTGTCCCATGCCTAGAAGCACCCAAGGGATGTTGGGCATGGCTTGGAGCAAAAGACAAGTGCCCAAAGTGGCTCTTAAGAGACTTTTCCTTGCTTGCTCTTGGCCTGGGGCACAGCCACACACTCTGTCCAGTGCACTAGCTGCACCAGGGCTCAGGTTTGAGGTCAGGAGAGCCTTTTGCAAGGAGTGATGGCAATGCCCTCACCAGTGCAGCTGGCAAGGACCGAGAACAGCCTTTCCCCACAACCCCACAGGTCTCAGGTGGAGTCCTGTGCTCAGGTGACCTCAAAACCAAAATGCAACCACTCAATTAGAATGAATAAAAATAACCCCCAGCAGAGAGTCAGTGTCTGCGCTCTCAAAGGCACAGCAGCACTTCAGAAACAGATTGGTTTATCTGTTCCATGCAATTTACTTCCCAATGTGTCTCTGGATTCCCCATCTATTGTATTGGAGATACTGCAAAGGTGACCTGGGAAGGTTTGAACTCATCTGCTCCATCAGGTGCCACGAGCCAGGCTGAGGGGGATGAGGGGGTAAATAATCCCACTGTGACCTTAGAAAGCCACAGCTCAGGCAAGGAGCTCAGGGAATGCTGCACACAGCCCTGAGGAGAAGCAGAGGAAGCATCTAGGAAGTGGAGTAACACAGACATGTGTCATGTGGAGCTGGGGAAGTGCTGGTAAAGCCCTGCATAGAATCCCAGACTGGTTTGGGTGGGAAGGGAGCTTAAAGTTCATCCCGTCCCACCCCCTGCCATGGGCAGGGACACCTTCCACCAGCCCAGGTTGCTCCAAGCCCCATCCAGCCTGGCCTGGAACACTCCCAGGGATGGAGCAGCCACAGCTGCTCTGGGAAATCCTTGACCACCACAAAGTCTTCCACCTTCCTTAAGGACCCTCGTGGAGGGGTGAGCAATGGTCTGCCCTTCCCACCAGCAGCTCTCTCCCTGTGGACACACACCTAGGGAATCTCCACAGCCCTCTCCATGCAGGTACTTCACCAGGTAAGACTCAGCTGAGAATTCCCATGTTTTTCCAGCTTCACCAGCTAAAGCTCAGCTGAGAATTCCCATGTTTTCCAGCTGGCAGCAACACTGCACCTCTAACCAGACAACCCAACCGCATGTCCTGCCCCAGAACCTGCAGCTGCCAAAAGCCAATGAGTCACTCACCCAAGTCTGTCATGACCAGATCCTACTACATCTGTACTCTACTCTCTACTCACTATTTCTAAGTTTGGCCATTGGCACAGAAGTCAAAACCTTCCAAGGCCTAAACTCCAGCACATTGTATGTTGAGAGAAGGCAAGACCAACTAGAGGTCTCTGCACCCAAATTAGGTGTTATCCTCCTCCTGATCCTCATCTTCCTCTCAAACTACACAGCTCTAACTCAATGCTGAGAGTTTTTTAAGCCTTCTCCGCTGTATTGCAGAAGTACATAGGCTTAATGAAGTGTAAAGCTAATTATTATGCAATCAAACCCTTGCTCTGCAAGGGGAATCCCAGCACATCCCCATGTCCTGTTTCCCTTCCCAGTGTATTCCCTGCCCTGCTCTGTCAATGGAAAAGCAAACACTCCTCACAGCTCCTGCTAGCTTGGAGGCAGCAAACCCACCAATAAAACCTCCCCAGCTTAATGGCCCTTAAATGCTCCACATCTTTTGCAGCCCCTGTGCAATCCCTGGGAGCTAATGGCTCTGGCAATTACCTATGTGGGTTTGCTGCTAAGAGCTCATTTTCTGGGCTGGTAGAGCAGCATAGGCACGAGAGGACAACAGCAGGAAACCCAAACTTCCCAGAGCTCAGAGGCATTTCCAAGTCAGCTGCTCAAACCACACAAAAAAGAGTCAAAAATCACTTTTAAAGTGCTGTTCCATAAGAGAACCATGTGCCAGCACTCAGAGGCTCCATTATCTTGGCAACGTTGCTTTGCTGTCACACAGCATAGGTCACAAACCTTGTGAAGCTCCTTAGGTTCATTGTCTACACCTGTCAGGTAATCCCATTTGCTCCTTCCATTCCTCAGCACTGCTGTCCATGGCTGGAGTTCCCCTCCCCAGGGAGAGGACACCCCATGGGTGCTATTACCACACATATGGATCATCACTGCCATGGGAACATGACAGTCACAGCCCAAGTGTCACTGTCACCTCCATCAGCCAACTGACCCAAACCCCCCAGACTTATCCAAACCACTGCCTTCTTCATCCCCCTGAGCCGGGACACATCCCCATTTGTGCAGGATTTAGACAATTCACACCTGTTAAAGCCCAAAACATTGAGCCTGCTGTGTGCATGATGATTTCAGAGAATCACCAACACCAAGGGGACCAAAGAGCTACCAGGTATCACCTGCAATAGTGAATCACAGCATTCCCAAGGAATTTAGTTGCTCATTTCTGGGGCATTCTAACTTGCATTTATTTCTCAAGAAGGACCTTCCTCCCAGTTGGGAAGAGATCATGGATCAGAGAATCCAAATAACCTAGAACTGGATTCAGCTATGGTGAAGTTAGAGCTCTTCACTGTCAGGTCACACCAAGAGAATGGACTCTGGTGCTGCCAAGAAATTCTGCAGAGCTTAGCATGAAACCAGGCAGCAGGGGAGGTTTTAGGGGGGGAGAAATGGGTAGAAAACTCCTCTGGGTCACCCCCAAATCGATCAACTGACAGACAACTTGCCCCAGCTGGGGTAGAAGGGACCAGAGTCAATTTATCCTGAAGAAATAACTTGGTAGAAGCTTTGGGTCTCATCAATGTCACCCAAATGTTACCAAACTTCCTCTGAGAAGAGCCAGAAAAGCACAACAATCCCACCAGCCATTACAACCCAAACACGTTACCACTATCACCCAAGTGACTTCACCACCCTTCACACCCACACTGTTTAGCCAAGCTACTTCTATTTCTTCCCCTTTAACAGAATTGACCACTAGAACACAAAAAGAAAAAAGAAGAAACCAATTTATTGATGATGTAATATGGGAGAGAATTAGAAAAACATACATAGAACTCCCTGGGAAAGGAAACACAATATCAAAATAGAGTTAGTACAGCAAAACAAATACTCTCCAGTAAAAGTTTCAAGTAATGCAACCAGAAAAGAGTTTGGCTAAAAGGTTTTTTTTATATATATATATACACACACACACACACACACATATATATATATATATATACACACATACACACACACTGAGATGTTTGCTGTAATAGTCCTCTAAGAAATTAAAGGAAAGCAGCAGCAGATCTGTTCAGCTACAGACAAGGGTTTAGTAAATATATTAAGGGTATTTCTATGATAAGAGCTGCCCTGCACAGCCAGCACTGTGGCTGGAGCCAACGGGGCACTTGTCACCTCAATTCTACAAGACTCTGCCCAAACAGGGCCAAAACCATAATCCTGCCACAAAAAGGAGCCCTAAGGCTGTGAGTGCAGCTGCCTGGGGAGCACAGGACTCTGCACTCTGCCTTCAGTCCCCATTTGCCAGCACTCTGGGAGAGGAGGTTTGTCCTTCCTGCATCAGATGACACATTCCCCCTTGCCAGTCACCAGCAAATGCAGCCTGAGGTCAGGACAGATTCTGCTCCACTCAGACAGCCACACTCAGTATCAGCCTCATTTCCCCATGACTTCCTTTGAACAGCCCCAAACTTCACGTTTCCTTTCATAGAACTTCTTTGAGAAAACATCATCCTCCAGTTCCAACCAAAGCCCTGTCTGATGGCCAGATTCCAAGCAGCTAAAATTCTCCTTTCATTAACCCTTCCTATTTGCCTCTTCCCCCATAAATAAGGCTCTAGTACATCATTTACACCTGGAACAGTGTTTGAAAATGCAATTCCTGAAGTGCCTAGTGTGCAGCTTAATGAGCTGCTCAGTCTCTCCCACGAGGCCTGATGAGGAATGAAATGACACAGCAGCAGGACCATTACCTTTGGATCCAGGTGCTGCTCCACAAGCCATGACACTAGTTTCCCTCTCCAGCCTGCAGTGAGCAGCACCAAGGCCTTCAGGAAGCATTTGTGGGGGGAGGAGAGAAGGGCAGTGTTAGTGTTTTGATGGAAAACCTGAGTCTTGTAAGAAGCCAAGGCACTAAAGCTTATATATTAAATAAAGGCTGTGACTTGGCCAGCCAAGTCACAACACACACCTCACCACCTCTCACCCACCTCTGCAGCTGAGTGAGTGTGGCACAGCACACTCTGCTCAGCCAATGTGGCCAATTAGCCACTTTCTCTTAATCATTAAAGGAACTCCACAGCTACAGCTCTTAGCAGTTTATTGTCAACCATTCCATGAGAGTTCAGATCAGAGGATAACTGGAGTTCCTGGGTCCAGGCCTTGCTCTAAGTGGTCAATCAGACATTCAAATAATTTAACTACCATGTCCTCATTTTGACAGTCAGTTGGAAAAGATGTTCCACATCTTTTATGCACCTCATAACAGAAGGGTCAGATCTGAACCTTCACAGCCCTAATTTAGTGTTTTACAGGAAGAAAATGCTTCAGCTTTGTCAGCTGGTTTGTATCTGGAGGTTCTAATTGCAGCTCTATCACCATAATTACATCAATCCCACAAAGGGTGTCACTCCCACAGGATGCAGCAGAGCCCCTCAGCACACCAGGCCCTGCCTCATCTGGATGATCTGGAGCAGAGCAGCCTGGACATCTTCATCCATGTGACCCTACAGAAGGAAACATGGAGTCAAAACCAAGATTAACATCAACCATCCGTTATTAACATCAGGAGAGCCCTTCAAAACCACCCAAGAATCAACTCCTTGCTCTGTTTTCAACACACAGTGGGAAAAATCTGAAATACTTTAGGGATCCTGAGGTTTTCCTCATGGACATCTTTGACATAGCAGTTTCCTTTAGGAAAATATGATGAGGGGAAAATTGACTGTCCCAAAGCATTCCAGGATTGCCTGGGCTGAAGTAGAGTTAAGAGCATGCTCAGACCATTAAGACTCAGCAATGGTACAGTTGGTTTTGTGTTGGCTCAGACCATTCTAAATCAAAACTCTCCACATGAACACAGATACCTGATGCCAGTTTCAAGTTTATTTGAGGTCACAGAATCATGGAATATCCTAAGCTGGAAGGAACCCACAAGGATCATCAGTCCCAGCCCTGCACAGGACACCCCAACAACCCACCCTGTGCCTGAGTGTTGTCCCAACGCTCCTTGAGCTCTCTCAGCCTTGGGGCTGTGACCACTGCCCTGGGGAGATGTTCCAGTGCCCAACCACTCTTTGGGGGAAGAACATTGTCCTGATATCCCACCTATACCTCCCCTGACACAGCTCCAGCCATTCCCTGGGTCCTATTCCTGGTCCCAGAGAGCAGAGAGGGTGCTGCTCCTTCACAGCCCTTCATGAGGAAGCTGCAGACCCCAATGAGTCTTTCCTCAGTCTCTTCTTCTCCAGCTGAACACACCAAGTGTCCTCAACCAGGTAGGGAAGAACATTGTCCTGATATCCCACCTATACCTCCCCTGACACAGCTCCAGCCATTCCCTGGGTCCTATTCCTGGTCCCAGAGAGCAGAGAGGGTGCTGCTCCTTCACAGCCCTTCATGAGGAAGCTGCAGACCCCAATGAGTCTTTCCTCAGTCTCTTCTTCTCCAGCTGAACACACCAAGTGTCCTCAACCAGGTAACTGGTCTTTCAGCTGGAAACATGTCTCCAGAGTCTGTCACACTGAGCTGAGAGAGCAAAACCACCTGAATGTGGGACCCTCATACCTGCACAGCACTGAGCAGATGTGTGCGATAGACCGAAACCACCTCCTGGTGCTGCCTCTTGGCATCCTAGGAAAGAGGAGACAGGAAGAGGAGCTGAAGTCATCACACATTTAACATCTGCTCTTGCCCATTTCCCACTGTGTGCACTGGTTTTCTGCACTGACAGAGCAGCCAGAGCAGAATGTCAAAGTTAAATGTTGTATCTCCTCCATTAATCAAGAAATAATCTCTGCTTCAAGGTTTTGGTGTTACTTGCAGCAAAGCAATTCTGCTGCAAGGCTGTCAGAGACACCCCAGGGGCTGAGATCACAAACTCTCCTGAGCTGCAAGGGACCCACCCTGGCCCTGGTTTCATCCCCAACATCAACTTCTGGTTTAAAACCACCCAATTAAGAGCATTTCACCTCCTAAGGGTCAACCCTGCAAATACTATGCAAGATGTATCCTCCTCGTGTCCAGACTGACAAACTCTGCTCACACACAGAGCTTTAATCATGACTGAAGTCACAGCTCCCAGAAGAGTGTGCTCCCCCTCACTGCTAGGGATGATAAGCAACACACTTCAGTGTCTGCAGCCAAGGGAACAAGTCAAATCCCTTCACAAAGGACCATCTCACTCTTCCCAAGTGAGAAAAAATACATGGCTGTGTTTTGGCAAAGGAATATTAAAACTAAGCATTCAGGAATGGTCTTGGCATGGACTGTGGCAGATAATCTCCTAAGCACAAACTCTTTCTGAGCACAGATTCTCCCTGAATTGTTTGTGCTGCAATTCAAAGTGCAGAAGAAAGGAGAAAAATTTACAGAGAAGAAAGAACTCAGGAGAAGAAAACCCCCAAGTAACAAATACTGTACTCCTGAAACCTAAGCCTGCAGTTACCCTCATGTCCCAGCAGCCACATCCAGGTTTCCCTGCTTATCCCTTGGGTGAGTACTCACAGCCAGCTGCTGCTGTAGTGTTTTCACTTGGGTCTGGAGCATTTCAACCTGCTGGTTCTGCCTCTTGGAGGGGATGCCAGTGGTGTAGGTCAGCTGGGACAAGCCATTGAGAGCTTGTTTTAACCTCTCCACGTCGTTCAGCAGCTCTGTTATCTTTAATAAAAAGAACAGAAAAACCTCATTTAAGGATGTCTCACTAATGTTCTTTAACATTCTTTGAAGTCTGCTGAAGACCAGCAGGCACTGAAGGGTCTCTGTCCGAGCTGGCCAAGAGACTTCACAGATAGAGGACTTGATTTTCTGCCTCCTAGCACTGAGATCTCTCAGGTATGGACCCTGGAGGGCATCCAGCAATATAAGTGACTAAAAAAAGTGAGTATCTAAAGATATTTTAGGTCTAACTTGTAAAAAGGACAGTGAACCAGCAGAAGGCAAACCAGAGATGCCCAAACACAGTTCCAACGGAACAACAAGTTGATACCCCAAAATTCGGAGGCTTTCATAGAATTTAAACACTGCACATGATGTCCAAAACACAGGAGGGCTTAGAAAAAAACCTGTATAGTGCAAAGCCAGGAGTTATCTGAGCAGATGTGGGCCAGTTCTGGGTACCTAATGCTCAGTACAAAGTCATGCTGGAACACCTCAGTAGTTTCTAGCCCCTTTGCTGCTGAACTGAGGAGATAAGGAGCATTAACTGCCACAATCTCACCTTGTTATCCTTGGCTTCCACCTGCTTTGCAGACTCCTGGATCCTCTTCTGCAGGTCAATAATGGTTGTCAGGGACTTGTCACACCTTTCTTTCTGGTCCTTGATTTCCTGCTCGATGCTGCAGCTTCTCAGCTGGAGCAGCTCCTTCTCATCCTTGAGGGACAGCTCACTCCTCTTGGCCTGCAGAGCCTCCTCACAGGCTTCCTCATACTTCTTATTCATGTTGGCCAAATTCTCAGCTATGCTGTTGATCTGGGCCTCCAGGGAACTCTTCATGGAGTTGTATTGTGCCATGTCAATCACCTCCTTGCTCTCCAGCTCTGCCAGTGACTGCTGGGTGAGCTGTAGCTCAGACTGCAGCTGCAACAACTCCTCCTTCTTTACCTGGTTTTCTTCCTCCTTCTCTTTCAGGCTGGTTTTGACTGCTGTGATTTCCTGCTCCAGCATCTTCTTCATCTGTGTGTATTCTCCCAGAGGTACAGAGGACTCCTTCAGAGCTGACAGCTCCTGCTGCAGCTCTCCTGCTCTCAGTGTCTCTTTGTCATGACATTCCTTCTTTGTCCTGAGAGCTTCCTTCAGGTCTTCTACAGTGTGACCAAGAGCCTTCTTCAAGGCCTCCACCTGCTCTACTGAGAGGTGCTGAGCCTGCAGAGCCACAGGCTGCTTGGCACCCTCCTGCAGCTCACCTTCCTCCTCACCCGTGTATTTCCTCAGCAACTCTCTCAGCTGCTGGTTCAGCTCCTGCATTCTGCCTGCAAACATCTTCTCCATCTCATGGGACTTCTCAGCCAGGATGTAGTTCTGCTTCAAGTCATTCTGGATGGACAAAACACCATCCCTGAGCTTTTCATTCTCCTCTTTGTACCTCTTGGCTTCCTCCTCACTTTCTCTGCACTTCTGCTCCTGTTCCTCCAACTGTGCTCTTAACTCTCTCACCGTGGCCTCAAAGCTCTGTTCTCTGTCTGCAAAGGAGGCAACTGGGGCATATTTTGACTTTATGCACTCTTGAATGGTGTCCAGTTCCTTCTTCTGGGCCTCAATTTCTGAGTGCAGCTGTGAGATATCCTCTTGCCCCCTCTGACACTCAGCCCTGATGGCAGCATTGCTCTCCTGCAGCTCCTGTACACTTTGGTTTAGAGCAGTCACTGTACTTTCATGATCCTTTAAACTTATATACTCTGTTTTCAATTGATTCTGTAAAAGCTTCACCTTGTTTTTCAGAGCACCATTTTCTTCGTTTACCCTCAGGAATTCTTGCTTTATCTCTCCGATTTTCCCCTTCAGGTCTGACAGTTCCCCATTGGTCTTTTCCAGTGTGTTGTTGAGTTCTGTTTTGACCTCCTCGTGAGTGGTGGCCAGGACATACTGATCCCTCAGGCTCTCCCTCATGCCTGTGTTTTCAGACACTAGTTTGCACACTTTTGCTTGCTCATCATCATATTTCTTCTGCAGCTCAGCCAGTTGCTTTTCCAGCTCAATCCCACAGGATTTTAAAGCTTCCACTTCCTTTTTGTGCTGCTCTGGAGACAGGTACACAGCTTGGAAGTGGCCAATACTCTCACTTAAGTTTTTCTTCTCTGCCAGCAGCTTCTCAGCTTCTGCTTTGCTTTCATTGTACTTCTTTGTTATTTCAAACAGCTTTTTGGTCAGGTCACCCACAGCCAAATCATTTGTTTTCTTTAGTTCCTCATGAATTTTTAAAGGCACATTCTGGCTTTTCATTTCAGTCTTTAATATCTGGACTTGCTGCCTCAGCACCCTGTTGTCAGCCTGCAATCTTTCCAGTTCCTTCTGCAGAGCCTCATTCCTCTGTGACACCTCAGAAATTGCTTTCCCAAGTTGCTCATTCTTCTGCTCAAACCCACTCCTCATCTGCTCATGCTCCTCTGGCCTGACGTGCTGAGCCAGTTCTGCTTTCTGTCTCTCAGATTCCCTCTTTAAAAGCACAATCTCTGCCTGCAGCTTTTCATGCTCTCCTTCCAGCTCTGCTAACCTCCTGGCTTTGTCATTCACCTCGTTTGACAGCAAACTCTTCATGTTCTCAAACCTCTCAGCAGTGACAGCCTGGGCTAGCTTGGCTGCTGTCTCCCTGAGCTGCCCCTCCAGCTCCATCACGTTCCTTCCCCTTTTATCTCTCTCCATCTCCAACTTAACAAGCTCCTTCTGCAACCTTTTGTTTTCCTCCACTAGCCTTCCCTCATCCCTCTTGAACTCTGCCACCAACAATTCATTCTGCTTGATGTGGTTCCTCAGCTTTCCCACTTCAGCAGAGGCTCCTTCGTACTTGGTTTTCATCTCCTTCAGCTGCTCCTTCAGCTCCTCTGTGGCCTTAGTGCTCCCTGCAGCCACTTCATTCGTCAAGTGATCTTTCAGAGCAAGGAAGTGAGTCTGCATTTGCTTCACTTTGCCTTCAGAGTCAAACATCCTTTTCTGGACGTCTTTCAAAGCATCTTCCAGCTGTTTGATCTGTCCATCAGATTCTGCCTTGGTTCTCTCGCACTCTGACGCCAAAGCTTTGCATTCTGATGCCTTGAGAGAGAGTTCTCTCTGCAACTTGCTGATTTCTTCTTTGGCTGCACCAAAGCAGCTCCTCATGTTATCAAGTTCTTTCTTTAAAGCCTCCTTCTCTAAGCTGGGTGACTGGTTGGGCAGGGAGAGCTCCAGGGGCCTCAGCATAGACCTGGACTGAAGGGAATGGGCACAAAAATCACGTTTACAAGTTTGTCGAGTCAGATGTGTTAATTATTATCATCACATTTTAATATGTGAATTGTCACATACAGAACTGTCTTAAATGGGTCTGAGCATAACCTGTACAAGAGATTTCTTTTTCCCTTAAATCCACACTAAATTGGTTTTGCCCATAGTACAGAACATGTGAATTTCAGCTTTTAGCAGTAAAAAACTTGAATACAGCTCTGCATTACTGCGTCCCAGTCAAAACCATGAAATAGTTTGGGTTGGAAGGGACCTTAAAGCTTATCACATGGCCATGGGCAGGGACACCTTCTGCCAGCCCAAGTTGCTCCAAGCCCCATCCAGCCTGGCCTGGAACACTCCCAGGGATGGAGCAGCCACAGCTGCTCTGGGAAATCCATTCCAGTGCCTCAGCACCTCACAGGGAACAATTCCTTCCCAAAATTCCATCTAAACTTAAACCTAAACTCATTAGACCCTCCTGACATTAAAGTGCAGGTGTAGCATAGTCATTTCATTTCCCTTGTTATGCTAATTCATATTTAATCGTTCACCTGCTAGAACAAATTTCATTTAGTAAGAGATTTCCTCATCCCTGAAGCATCTGAAAACCATTTTATAAGGAATCAGAACAGAGTCTGTAATGGTTTCCTGCTGGAAAAGACTGAGGAATAGTCATTTGGAATTCTAGAAGGGTTTGGGCTGGAAGGGACCTTAAAGATCATCTTGTTCCACTCCCCAAGGGACTGATGGACCTTGTTCATATCTGAACTGTTGCTATAAAAGGTTAATAGCTATCAAACAGAGCTGTCAGGAAAATTAAGTTTTCTCAATTTTAGATTAATTTAAAGTAGAAAGAAATGATGGAGATGAAAACCCAGTTGCACTTTACCCTGAGCTGATCCAGGTTTAAGAAAGCTCATTCAAGGCTCTTTGGTTCCCTAAATGTAAAGGCCTGTCCCAGCTGTGGCTCTAGAGGGCACCAGCAGTTACGAATAACCATGGAAAAGCCAGGATTCCTCAGAATTTTGCATTCAGAAGCAAGGCTAAATAAACACACATCCAAAAGTATATTTAATGTCTCAGTGTAATTATCTCAGAACTCTCTCAGGTGGTGATTTACTTCTTACCTGTGATTCCACAGCAAATCCTTGGCCTTGTTTAAGTAATAAATCTTCTTTTCCTAGAATTTTCAAAGCAAACAGGATTTAGTCTCTGGTTAAAAACAGAAATACAATGAAAATCTGTGATTTTCCTTCCTAGCTTTAGTCTGTCCCATGAGATTGTGCTAGGCTGGAGATTGGTATTTAATACCAAGTACTTGGTATTAAAACAACTTCTACTTAATTCAGTCACAGAGGGAGTCTGGACAAAGTCCTCCTAAAGAAAAATAACCAAACTGTCATGCCAGGCTGGGTAAATTGCTCTGCACAGTGCTCTGGAAGCCTCCTTCCCCAGCTGTGAGTACAGCAGGGACAAGCATCCCCCTGCACCCCAAATAAATGATTCCACCTGACAGGCAGCCAAACAGCTCAAAAAATGCTACTTAATCTCTCATGAGCCATTCAGTTACACACAAGTGCAAGGAGGGTGTGTAACTAAGGTGGACACAACACTCCAGTTTGTGGAATTGGAATAATTTCTAATGGAAGTGTGAGCTGAGGTCTGGGGATCACAGTCCCTTCCAACCTGCTGCACTCCAGCTGTGACACTGATCACAGCTCTCTTGCCATAAGCCAGGCAGAAGCATTGTTTGAGGAATGAGGGAGGGCAAGGAAAGCTCCATGTGGAGCACAGACCTTGCCCAGCTTGTTTTTCATGTTGGCAGAAGTAGAGTGGCAATGCACATTCCCCAGGGCCAGCCTGAGACCAATCAGAGTGCCCTGGCACCCACCTACACACACTCGTGTCCAGCTCACTCTGCTCACAGCTTTGAGGTATACATATGATGCTTAGCTCTGTTTAACACCAACAACAGGGAGGGATGACAGAAAACCCTTTTGTGTGTGTGTTCCAGCCCTGCATCATGCATGGCAAGTGCCAGGAATTAACTGTACTTACTGTTAGCAAAGCTACTTGCAGAGCCCACGGAGTCACCCTGGAAGGAAACAGCAAGAAACACAGAAACAAAACTGAAAATTCATTTAAAACATTTGCTGTATGTAAAACTAGGGATTAAAGGGCAGAGAAAGCTCTTACAATGAGATAAACATTTAGGACTTTCAATTTTAGTATTTACTGCTGTAAATATCAATTACTCTATCACATTTAAGATTCCTTCACATACTTCATAATACTTGAGTTTAGCTTTGAGAGCCTCAATAGTCCTTAAGTTTTCCTCCTGCTGCTTGTCCTTGGTACCCAGGATTTTCCTCAACTCATCCTTCTGCAAGAGAAAGAGGGACAAATAGCCAAAGCCACAGCAAGGGACACATCTATCAGATCTCAAGCCACTTTTTAGAGAGTTTAGGGAGAACTTCAACCAAGATCAGCACTGAAGTAGTCCCTAAATTAGTGATTTTGAAGTTCTCACAGGAGAGGAGTCAAGGGAATATGCACCAACATAATCTGCTATTGTTGAATCGATTCATATTTATGAGTCTTGTGCTACTCAGAGTCACTAAAGAGACACTTAATATGATAAGTACATTTAATATTTTAAGTGTGCTTTAAGGGTTCCATGGGAACCACACACATTACCTGCAGTAACAGCAATGCTGTGCTGGTACTACAAGCTGATCACAGACCAGTAGATATTTCATTTAGCATTTTTAGGCAGCTTTTATTTCCTCTACAGGGTTTAAATACATTACTTAAAGGAGAGAGTTGCTTCCCCTATCTCCCAGCTGTGTTACACTTGCAGGTGACACATCGTACCTCATTCTCAAGGTCATCTGCAAACATTTGCTCCTGCAAAAATAACAAAGAAAATCCCCCCAAATAATTTTTTAATGATGTTTAAGGGGTTTGCACACAGTTCATTAGCTGACAAGTCTACCCCAGTATTTATGCTCCCCTTCCATTTACCATCCAGATTTCCTGCTCTTGGCAGAGGTTAAACAGGAGCTAAGGATGTCTGACAAATGTCTCTAGGAATATCTCCTCGATTATCAGACACTACTGAGGCAGGAGAGCAGAGCTTGTCAGAAGTTTGCTGACTGTGCAAAGTGAGCATTAAGAAATTTGTTTTGTGAGTGCAGTGCTTAAGAGAAGTTCAGCCAAGCCAGAGATTCCAAGAAGAAATATTCTTTCTATCCATGTGCTACATCTAGGCAAAGCTGCATAAAATGTACCTCTACAAAAAGACAGCAAAGAAACAACTTTGAGCCTCCAAAAAAAGCAACAACTCCTCACACCAAAAAATCCTGTTGTATCATATTTAGACCTCTAAGAAGAGGGAAATTTTGTTAAAAATAAGGTGAGAAATTTGGGTGAGAAATTCCTATTGAAAACCTTTGGGGCTTTTTGCCAATTGAAGATTTTTTTTCCCTGTGTTTCCACTGGCAGTAACAGCTGGAAATTCACCTGATAAAGCACTGCCACACATCTACACTCAACTGGGCACATGAAGTTCAGCCTCCAAATTCCAACACACCAGAACACCTCATGGTTCATGTCGCACGGTGAGGCAGAGCCATAAATGCTGTTGCTCACATCTCTGGCTGTCAGTGAGTGACACTGCAACAGGTCTCCTCACAGTCTGGATATTACAAGACCAAGGGCTTTTTGAAGCAGAAGAAAATGAGTGACACAGAGCAATAATTCCCAGGAAAGCAGTGAGACCTCATCCTAACTCCATGTGCTTTCCTTTCTACTTCTGCTGTCAGCACCAGGTGGTTATTCCAGCTTTCAAGGCAGATTATTCCTTGGCTCACCTCATTGAGCTGTAGCTGCAGCTCACTGATCCTGTCCAGCAGCATCCTTTGCTCCTCCTGCATGCCCCTCACTCTGTCTTTCAAGTCTTGATTTTCGAACTCCACGTCCTACAAGTAAAACATAACATTCAAATAATAATAATTAAAGTCCATCACACTACACACACATTGTGAAAGGCAAAGAGTCTGAACCAACAGCTTTAACAGCACTAAAGACACCTAGCCATGCACAAAGAGTGATTTTGTGCCCTTCCTCCAGGACTGGATTGTTCTCAGGGTTTCCATAAGCACAAGCTCCTGAAACTTCAGGCTCTTCAGCTCTACACAGCTCATTCTCATGTGAGTGCACATCCAGGCTGTGGAAGTATGAGCAGAGTAAGATCACATCCAGTGCTCCTTATCTGCTGTCTGTTAACATGTAAAATACCTCAGGCTGACACAGCTCGGCCCACTGCAGCCAGAGGGGCAATGGCAAAGCCTGACCAGCAGAGCAGCCTTTGAGGGTGAAACTGCTCCAGCAGCCACAAGAGCCACCCCAGTGACACAAAAAATCCAACACACGTGTGATAGGTCTGTGTGCCTCAGACCAGTGCTCACATGCAAACCACAAGGCATGTTCAACTCTTGCCTGCTAATCACCACCTCAACTGTGGCACTACTTTAACTGCAGCTTCTCTGGTTTGAGCTAGAGATCTTTATCCTTTCATTACACAGCAGCTCAGAATGCAGCAGGCCTCAGTGCCCCAGGGCTTTGTTCCCCACAGCTCACAACGTCCTTGTTTACCTTCCTGACAACTGCAATGACATAGCAATGAGATGGGGAAATTAATGCTGCTTAGTAGAGTTATGACACTGATGATTTTTAGTGAGACAAACATACATCTCTTGAGAATGTTAAAACATACATCTTCCTGGTCTGAGACTGATTTTACTGGGGAGACAGAAGGGTAAGGGGTTGGAAAGGTTAAGATATTGAAACTTGCAACTATTCATTATACAAATAAGTTGGTTTTCCCCCTGAAAAGCTTATAGCTAATCTGCCTAACTGCCACATTCCACAGTCATGCAATTAAGCTTTAAGTAAACAGCAATACATGACCTTTCTTAATGGCATCACTAATGCTTCCTTTAAAAGCTCATCTTGTCTTTAGCACATCTGGTTCACTATCCATGTGGGAATATACAGGAGTCCTCCTCACTTACCTGAGCATTATGTTCCTTCTGATACAGCTTGACATTCACCTCCTCCTGCACATACCCATGGCTCCACTTCTGGGACATATTGCTGAGCTGTTAATACAACAGGCAAGTGTTGATTTATCCTCCTGCTGTGTCCTGCACACATCCATTTCTGCTTTCAGCCTCCCTCTCAGCTTCCATGGGGAGCAATCCCTAGCAGCATTCCCGTGTGGACAGATTGGCTCACAGTGAGAGGTCACCCATGATCTCATCCCAACACAAACGGGAAGCCTGTCAAAGCTCTAATCCTGAATATACACATGGTGGAATATTTTTCAGACAGAACCAGCCACACCATGTGATCACAGAGGGAAACATATCAGCTGGAGTTCAAAACTAAAAACTACTGAGTCAGTTTTGTGTCACAGCACAATCCTCATCCCCTTCTCAACACCACATTGCCTTGGGAGATGCCCAGCATGAGCAGCCTTACCTTTTGCTCTGCCTGCCCTCTCTTCATGCTGTCTCTTCCTAAGAAAGCACCATAAAAGGAACTTAAGAACTGCTTTTCATTCCCATTCATGCCACACATTCAGCAAATTCAACCCACTTCCCAACCTGGGAGGACATTTCAAAAACCAACTTACCACCCTCATAACTAATCAAACATAGAAGCATTCACAAGTGCAAAGTTTCTATAAACAAGGCTGAAAACTGCCAGATCAATACTGCAGTGAAAGGCTCAGCTGTGTCACCCCCTCGAGGCATCAGAACATGCTTTTATCTTCAAAGCTTTACTAAAAGGAAATGCAACCCCAAAAAGCTTTCCTTCCCCTCCAAAATCCCCTTTTTCTTCTAAGGACTAGAGCTGCCAGCATTCACAAGTGCAAAGTTTCTATAAACAAGGCTGAAAACTGCCAGATCAATACTGCAGTGAAAGGCTCAGCTGTGTCACCCCCTCGAGGCATCAGAACATGCTTTTATCTTCAAAGCTTTACTAAAAGGAAATGCAACCCCAAAAAGCTTTCCTTCCCCTCCAAAATCCCCTTTTTCTTCTAAGGACTAGAGCTGCCCTGCCGACACAGCAGTGAGGAGATAACAGTTCACCCATCGAGCAGAGCTGTAGGCAGGTCCCTCCTACCTTTGCTGGAGTCCTCAACGGCAGCTTTTATTAAAGCCAAAATGTCAATATTGTCCCCAATTCTGGCATAGTAAGCACAGTCATGCCCAAGGCCATCAGTCAAACTAACATCTGCACCATTCCTGAGCAACACTTCCACGGCATCCTTGCAGCCATATTCACAGCCTAACATTAGGGCAGTCCTGGGGATGGGGAGAGAGAGGGAGGTGAGAGAGCTGGGCACCCCACAGGGCAGCACTCACAGTGATAAACCCTCAGACCTTTCACTCAAGGCACCTTTCCTCCATCCAGAGAGGAAACAGCTTGGAAAAGTCATTTAGTCAGTGTTTAGATATCTGCTAAAAAGCAAGCCAAGCCAGCCTAACAGCAGGATTGTCATCAAACCAGCACAAATGTGCTGCCCTGAGACTCACTCACTGCTTTGAGAACTCCTTTGACTTCCCCTGTGTTAGACACAAATCTCAAAAGGCACAACAAACACAGCACAGGGAATTTGGCAGTTTGGAGAGGTGAGTGCCTGGGATGCTTCACCTGGCACTGCTTCCCAAACACTTCCCAACCACACAACATGCCACGGGAGCTTGCAGGCTTTGTCCCACAGCAGCTCCATGCCCCTTGGCCCCCTCCAAGAAATGACTGGCCAAAGTATCAGCTACAAATAGAAACTCCTTCCCCTGACCCCCAAAGGAAACACCCCAAAGCCTTTAAGGTCCCTTTAAGGTCCAATGGCCTCAGGACTTATGACACAGTAGCACTTTCATCATGCCCCATTCTGCATTGATCCCAAAGGGTGCAAGATACAGCTCTGGACAGCCAAACCCTTAAACCAAGTGCAGGTTCTCTGCTGGCACTACCAAGCCTGAATGTACTTTGGATACAACTAGAAGCAATACAACAAGGGCAGACAGACCTGCATTGTTGAACATCTACCTCTGAACTAAATCTCAGGTTCTCTCCCATCAAATTTAGCACATTTATTCTGTAAGCCTGAGAACTAAGGAGCATTCTCTACCCTTGCAATGCTAGCAGGCATTCTGAGAGCTCCCTGCATATGTTACCTGTTCTGCTTGTCCCTGGCATTAAGGTCTGCTCCTCTGTCTATGAGCAGCTGACAGACCGTGGGACGACACATCTGAGTGGCCAGCACCAGTGGTGTCCTCCCGTCCTGAAGGGAGAAGGAGAAAAGTCATAAGAAAACTGAGAGGAAGCAGCAGAACTCCATCAGGGTTTGTGCAGGAGAAGGGTACAAGCAGGAACTTACTCCATCCTTGGAATTGACGGAGGCCCCATGGTCACAGAGCAGCTGAATGCTGGAGGAGCAGTCTGACATGGCTGTCAAGGGGAGAGAGAGCAAGTTACACTGCTGAGACCAGCCCTGGGGAACCCCAGACACCTCCTTGGGTGTATCTGGGTCACAAACACTCAGGCAACTAAGTTAAAGCATGACAAGGCTCTATGACTTAGGTCTCACAGCACCAAAGGCACCTGGGAGGAATCACACACTCCTGCTCAAGACTGGGTAGCATAAAATGCATGAAGACAATCCAGAGTAAAGGGATCTACTAACAGCACTGCTCTAAAACTTTGCTCATGGGACTTGCTGAAGGTTTTACTAGAAAAGTCAAAGGCATCAGAAGAGACTTTCAGACCTACAACCTCTGCTAAGACTATGTTCATTACTGAGTACAAACACGACAATATAAAACTCTCTCCTACTACAGTCACCAAAATAAAAAGAGAAGGATTTGGCCCATCTGGAAGTTCATCCATTAATTAAACTCCAATTCCACATTGCAGTTAGCAGCAAAGCCTTTTACCTGCATCATGAAGAGCAGTTCTGCCCTGAAGATCCACATTCTCCGTTGGACAATTGTACTGGCAAAATAAGGAATTAGAATTCAGGTTGCACTTACAGAACATTAAATGCTTTGAGGTTTGAATTAAAGCAATAAAATTACTTAATAAACAGATGTAAGCTTGCGGTTTATAAATATAGTGACACACATGAAGGAAAGAGCTCTGGGTTTGTCCACTTTAGGGCTCTAAACACACTGAGCAACAGTTGTAGGAGAAAGTTAAGACTGTGCAAAGAAATTGCACAATTAATTAACTTTTCAATGTGTCATTTATACCTGTACCAAATAAACACGAGTTTAAAAGAACCCATTAAATATTACAACAACAGAAAACCAAACCAGATCACACGAGCATGAACTGACCAGGAATAAATGAATTAAAAATAAACATCCCACAACCCTAAGACAAGCCCCAAATTGTCTCATTAATGACATTATGGCTACAAATGTCCATTTTCGAAGAAAACTACTCTAGAGCAGATCTTTACTGCTCCTAAATGAAATGCATTCAGGTAGGGAACACTAGTCTCTAAAAGACACTCAGCTCCATTTGCTTCAAGAGGTAGAAACAACTTAATTTGATTTACTATGTGAAGAGATAAAGTCTTCATTTCCTTTGTGTTAGCACTTTCAGCCACAATCTGTTAATTAATATGAAAAGGTCTTTCCCCCATTACTCTTATTAATTTTTAAATCATCTAATTGATTAAAAAGCAACCACAGAAGAAAGGTATCTCCTAATTTTTAATCAGTATATTTCAAACCACCTGTTCCCTCTCAAGAGCAACAACAGTAAGAGACAAGGTATATTCACCAGTACCTGCAAGAGCTTCTGCAAACACAAAGCATGTCCGTACTTTGCAGCTAGGTGCAAAGCATTTCGACCTGAAAACAGACCAACATCAACTCAGGATTTATTCCCAGTGAGTTTTTGATGAGTATTCACATCATTTCAGGTACAGCAGCCCCTGTGTGCCAGTGCCCCCAGCCCCACCAGTGATGCAAGTGAGTCACCTCTCTGACAGACACCTCATCGTTTCTTAGTCTTTTCTTATTTCAATGCAACTGCACCCAAGGATTCACCTTCATTAGTGAAATTCACCTCAAAATACTGCAAATTAGCACTTAAAACAAACTGCCACATGAAAGGAGGAGGCTAAGCAATTTCTCTAATTCTCTTGTTTTCAACCTCACATTCATTAGCATTGTAAATTCTGAGGTAAATCTGAGGCCAAATCAGCACCTGTTTTGAACTACCTCTTCCCTCAGACCTTCCCACAAACTCTGGCATCACACAGGCAGCACAGGTGCACTCAGTGTCTGAGGGCTCAGCTGGGCACACAAACACCATCTAACCTGAATCCTCACTGTGTGCAGCACTTTACAAACCCCAGTGAGAAACACTTGGTATTGAAATGAACACAGATTCATTTCAAAAAACTGTTGTGATACAGAAATGCTGATCCCACCAGCAAGTCTGGAACAGACTATATATTCAATTACAGCAGCACAAAACCAAAGTTCTGCTGCGTTCATGAACTTAGAGAACGCGACCAGTTTCCTTAAGTCTAGCCACAAGTCACACAGATAATCAACCTTTTTGCCAGCTACAGAAAGGAGAAAGACCTATCCTATGGTTCAGCTAATTCTATTCCAAAATAAAACCCAGCTGGGCACATTTAAGTTGCCCTTGGAGCTCTGAGGAAGCCAAACCTGCAGCATCAGTGGCTGTGATATCAACCCCATGAACCAGGATGGTGTTCAGGCAGTCCAGGTTTCCTTTTGATGCTACAACATGGAATCTAAAAAAAAAGAGGAAATATTTTACTTAAACCCAAGTGTTTTGTACATCAAAATGGTAATATTAGGCAGGAAAGCCAAAGCAAACAGCTGTACACCGAGAGCATCACACAGCACAAAGCCAGCTGGGGACAGCAGCCAAAGGCAGGAGAGTTTGGCAGATATTACCTTCGGGACCAAGCCAACTTTCTTGAGAAATCATCATTATTTACCTTGAACCAGTGAGTCAGGTGAAAAAACAGTATGTTTCCATTTATCTTTAATACTCAAATCTGGCAAGAGCAAGTGTTTAAATACCGATCTTCACTTGGAAGTGAAGACTGTTTGAGAGTCTCACATTCTAGCCAGTTAGTATTCCAGTTTCGATGAGACCAGAATTGAACATTATGTGTTACACAGATTTATATATCGAAACAAGTTTTCAGAGCAGCAGAAGACTTAGGCATTGAGTCCTTTTCAGTAGCTTCCCAAGCGGAGCCCTGAAGTCACTTACGCAGATCTCCCTTCCACATCCAGTTTCGTGGGACTGACTCCTTTTTTGGCCAGGATGGACGAAACCTTCTCCACATCTCCCCTTTCAGCTGCTTTCATTAACCTGTCATCATACTTGTTCCAGTCCGGGTTCAGCTGTGGAGAGAGGATTGGAAAAGCAGGTGAGCTGCTGCTGCACCACTGATACCCTAAGGGAGCCTCAGTGAAAGGCTCAGTCACACACAGAATATATCCTGGTTCATAGTGTTGGACATTTAAGATGTCTCTTTAGGTACAACATGACTGTAGCCTTTCCATCAGGCTGTTAGCAGTGAATGGACAGTGCTCTGAGAGCCTGGTTAAGCCACTTGGGTCCTAAAAGAGACCTTTAGGGTCAAATCTCTTTAGTTTTCCTCATTCTGCTTTGTTCTGGTTTTGGATTTTAACACCAAACGGATGCGCTAAAAATAAGCGCCAGGACATGGATTTTCCAGGCTGTGTCAGACTGCTCAGTAGGTCAAGAACTAGTTAAGTGTGACAGAGGAACATCTATTGATCTTTAGAAGAAAGAAATCCAAAGTTCAAAGCTGTAAATTGCCTGCAATCCCCAAAGCAATGAGGAGGGCAGGGAAAGCACAACTCAGTTATAAATAGACCCTCACACACTCAGTCCCAGACAGTCCTCACCCCCCACTCTCCTCTTGTTTACTTCAAGTTTAGAATTCGAGGCCACAAGCCAAGCTCCCACCCCAAAATGTGGAGCCTGTTCCCTTTCCAGACAAACTATCCCTTCTGAATGGCTTTAGGCTCTCCAGGAAACTCCGCGACAGGAACCTCATGGCCAAGCTGGACGCTGATGAGTTGATATTCAAGAAGCTTTTCAGAGCAGAACAAGGCTTAGAAAGGAGTGTGATGTTCAAATTTAACTCCACACAGCAAAACAATTCACTGGCAGTGGTGAGGCACAAGCAGTTTGTAGGTACATGAAGTTAACACCACGGATCAGAAGTTCCACAGCTTACTGAAGTAAGAGCATTCAAACTGGTAACCCCAGAGCCGCAGCAACGTCTTACCTTGCACCAGAGTCAGAGGTTGGAGGTTTCTGAGCGAAAGAGGGTACATGTAAACAGAACAGAATCAAAAATCCACTAGCACCACCTGCATCTGTAGTGATTTGTAAAGTGGAGTTGGAACCATGATCAGAGAAGCCTGAGAGGGTTCACATCAATGCACATAAATATCTCTAACGGATGTCAGGATGGTGCCAGACTCTGGTCAGTGGTGCCCAGAGACACGACAAGGACAAGAGCCATAAACTAAATCACAAGTACCACCAATCAAAAATCCACTAGCACCACCTGCATCTGTAGTGATTTGTAAAGTGGAGTTGGAACCATGATCAGAGAAGCCTGAGAGGGTTCACATCAATGCACATAAATATCTCTAACGGATGTCAGGATGGTGCCAGACTCTGGTCAGTGGTGCCCAGAGACACGACAAGGACAAGAGCCATAAACTAAATCACAAGTACCACCTCACCATGAGGAAGAACTTCCCTCCATGGAGGTGGCAGAGCACTGAGACAGGTGCCCAGGGAGGGCATGGAATCCCCATCTCTGGAGACATCCAGACCCATGTGGACATGTTCCTGTGTCACTGCTGCAAGTGACCCTCCCTGGGCAGGGGGTTGGACTGGATGATCTCCCTTCCAGCCCTACCAACTCTGTGTGATGATCTTTATTCCCCACTCTCACAAGGAAAAAGATTACAGCAATCACGAAGGCTTAACAACAGCTTACTCAGTTCAACACTGGCTAAAAGTGACACGAAGGAATAAAAATAGAGCACTAATGAAATAAGCACCAGTGCTGCCCAGCCTAAGTGCAGTGCTGGTTTGTCAATCAATTAAAGCATCCATTAGCCTAAAAGCCAAGCCAGTCTGACATAACAGAGTCACTGTGGTGGTGACATCACCAGGCCGAGCAAACAGAGCTTGGACACTGTTTTGCTCAGTCACCTCATCGTGCAAGGGTTAGGCTTCATTTGCTAATACCTTAGAGTCTGGAAATGCACAGCACCAAGCCCTGCTCAGAGTTGTTTTGCATGTGGCACATCTCCATCCTTACAGGAAAGCAATCACACCTTGTGTGTTTCCCCCTGGGTTCGGATTGCTGAGCTGCATCTTTGCAGCTTGCACAAACTCACCCAGAGCTCTGCAAAACCATCAACAGCCACTCCTTGCTGCTTTTTCATAGAGATCTTCTGACTAACAAAAGCATTATTAAAACAAAACAAAATACACATCACCTTTGTTTTTACTCCTTTGGTTACAATTCTTCAGTAAACTGTATCTATGGCCTATGACGCCCTCAATTTATCAGGGCCTGGAGGGACAGGACACAGGGAATGGCTTCCCACTGCCACAGGGCAGGGACAGATGGGATATTGGGAAGGAATTGTTCCCTGTGAGGTGCTGAGGGGCTGGAATGGATTTCCCAGAGCAGCTGTGACTGCTCCATCCCTGGGAGTGTTCAAGGCCAGGCTGGATGGGGCTTTGAGCAACCTGGGCTGGTAGAAGGTGTCCCTTCCAACCCAACCCATTCCAGGATTCAATGATCAAATAATTTCACATTTACCAAATGCATTTCACATTCGAGGAGAAACCCTCACAGAAGAGCTGCTAAAAAGCTACAACACATGAATTAAACAGTAACTAGTCAGAACATTTACACAACTCAAGCTTTCACACTCCTGCAGTCACACACTGCTGCCAGCACTATAAACTCTCAGAGATACCTACTGTGTCTTTAGCTGCACAAGAGAACCAACAAATCATGCTGAACTCTCGGCCTGGAGCTGCCAGGAGCTATCAGTTCATGTCACATCCAGCCACAGCCGTGCTGAGCTCACACAAGCTGCCCCGAGAAACCTGTGCTCTGCACCGCCCTGGGCTCATCCTGCTCCATCCTTCACTTAGCTTGGCTCCCCAAGGATATCTTCCCCATCTTCAGGATCATCCTCACACTTCATACCGCGTGCAGAACTCCCGGGGCGCAGGGCAGTGAGTGTGTGCAGCCAAGCCCTGCCCGAGCCGCGGGCTGTGCCGGGACACACTGCCTGGGACTCAGATAATATTGCCCAGACCTGCAAGAGCTTGTAAACAATACGTAGCCAGTGCCACCAGTCCTGATCTATTTTCTGATAGCTCAGGACCTGCTGGCCAGGCCATAGCAATGGCTCTGAATACATTCCCTGCATGCCCCTGCCCTGAGTAATGCCTTGGAGGGTTAATGTTAACCGAGGAGACAAACACGCATGGAACTGCTCCAGTGTTGTTGTGCTCTGCAGACAGGCAAACACTCACTTGGAAATAAACACTTCCATTAAATTAACTGTGCACTGACACGAGGGAAGGTCACACTTATCACCACTAATACCACAGGAGGACTGAAATACTCCCAGGAGTCATTTTTTCCCCCCATTCCACTGAGCTGAAACCAGACTCAGACTTCAGACAGTTACAACTGTGGAGCAGATGGAATGCATGAGCCTATTTTGACAGAAATGTAACCCATTTTAAATTAGCAAACACACATGCCTCTGCCTTCAAAAAAATGCTCCTTTTACAGCACTGAAACCCTTTCTGAATAGGACCTGGTTTCAGCTTACTGCTGCTGCCAGTCTGTCTCCCAACGTGTGAAACGAGAGGAGTCACAGAGGCTGTGCAAACATTCAATAGACAACGTAATGATTAGCAGCAGGGGAGAGGGAGAGTCTTCTTTCACAAGTTTTAAATTTAAATGGAGATCTCCCCAGTGCCATATTTAGAGGAGTAGGTCAACAAGACAAGCAATGCACTGTTTTGTCTGCAGAGGAGAAACCTGGTACAGGGCCAGGAAAGCCTCTTACACACACCCTGGAGGACACATAGGAGAGAATGCAAATAACCTAATAAATGGATCTTCTCAGCAAAGAGGTTTTAAAATCACTCATTCATATTTGGCCAAATTCACTCAGTACCTTTTGGAGTCTCTCACATCCCTTGCTGAGAGCATCAGCCTTTTACCTTGGAATGTTCCAAGACCTCTCTGCAATTAGAATCCATGTGACAAAGCCACTCCAAAAAGTAGAGACACTGTTGTCTTCTGACCAGAACCGAGCCTGTCTGCTCAGGCTAAAAAGGGGGGTTTGGGGGAAAATATAAATACACTTCACAAGTGACATCAACAGAACAAAAGGCTTACTTAGCTGAGATCAGTTTGGTGAGAAATGCACCTTCCAGGTGTAGAGCTTTCTCCAAAGGATTTATCCCAAAGGTCTGACTTGTCTCCTTACATGCCTGCAGACATCCCTCGTGACTGGTGAGCCGCACTCATCCTGCAGCCCCTTCACGCTGAAGATCCTCCTGAGACAGTCCTGACCACAAGATTTAGCACTGCCAAACCACATTCCCAGCTCTGCCCAGCTCAGAGCAGGCACAGAGCAGCTCTGGGAAACAGCTCAGCTACAGACTCACACTGCCTAAATTGTTCTCCAAAGTAGCTGAACCCAGGGAGCTCCAGGGGTAGAAATTGATAAAACAAGCTCCTGTTACATTCCTTCAGTGGAATCAAAGTTTGGAGCCTAATTTGGTTTGGTTTTCCAGAACAAAGTCCCGAAACATCACCAGAGATACCTCTGGAGGTGCTACACTGCCCAACACACAACAGATGCCAGGCCAAGGCTGATATCACCCATGTTTTGTTAACACAGAGCACCTGATTTCCTAAGCTCAGCCTGCCAGGAATTCTTCCCAGCTTCAAAGATAAGGAGTATCCTATCTCCACCATCTGGCGAGGGTCAGAAGCAGCCTTACTGCTATCAGGCTGTATGTGGTGCTATCAGTTTGAAGGCTCTGTAGGCAGCAGACACACTGGGTGTCTGCAGGCCCTGCACATCCATCTGGGGCCTGACGCCTTTGGAGGGATGCACAGACACACGTTCACACCAGCCTGCTCAGGGCGAGCACATAAACCCAACAGGCACTGTGCCAAGTGCCCTCCTAGCTCCCAAGGGATGACTTAACTTCCAGGGCTAGAGGGATTCTACCTATGTGCTAATAATCCTGAATTAATTGCTCTATTAACTTCTCCAGTTTCTCCTGAAATCCAGGTGAGCTTTGAGCATCCTCAACACACTTGGGTAAGGAATTGGACAATTTAACTATATAAGACAGTGCCAGGATAAGAGGGAGTGTCTTCCCACTGCCAGAGGCCAGGGACAGGTGGGATATTGGGAAGAAATACCTCCCTGTGAGGGTGCTGAGGCACTGGAATGGATTTCCCAGAGCAGCTGTGGCTGCTCCATCCCTGGGAGTGTTCCAGGCCAGGCTGGATGGGGCTTGGAGCAACCTGGGCTGGTGGGAGGTGTCCCTGCTCATGGCAGGGAGTGGGACTGGATGGGCTTTAAGGTCACCTAACCCACTTCAGAAATACCAGCTGTAATTCCTAAGCCTTTCAGCCCAAATCTGGCATAAAGCTGTGAAAGTGAGCAGAGCTTCAGGCGCCTGGGCCAGGCTGCTGATCCCATTAGCAGCCAAACCCAAACGGGGCACAGCCCTCTAATGCCATTAGCAAGTGACATAAGCACACAACAGAGCACAGAGCTCAGGTGACACACTGCCAGCACCACACACAGCAAAGCTCACAAACCTGTCAATGGTCCCTCATGGAAAGCACTGGGTTGGAACAGACATGGAGGTTCACCTCATCCCACCCCCTGCCATGGGCAGAGACACCTCCCACCAGCCCAGGCTGCTCCAAGCCCCATCCAACCTGGCCTGGAACACTCCCAGGGATGGAGCAGCCACAGCTGCTCTGGGCAACCTGGGCCAGAGCCTCAGCACCTCACAGGGAAGCATTTTACCCCCAGTGTCTAATCTGACCCTGCTCTCCTTCAGAAGCCAAGGACAGGCTCTCACATCTATGAGCCACACATAGGGATTTCCTGCTCTTTCCCCAGGGGTCAGAGTACAGTTGTGATCAGAAATAAGGCTTGGGCAGACACACCTTGATATTTCATATGGCACTGAGTGACAATTGCTTTTGAAGCAGCTTATTTGAAAGCTGCACAGACTGAAAGGAGAATTTAGACTAGTAAAACTGTATTTTTAAGATACTCAGCAGGTGCCGCTTCATCTGCAGTGCAGAGGCACATCACTGTCACCCATTACCCTGCAGATTTTGGCTTACCTCCAGTTCCCCAGAGAAACACTGCACACACCAGGTTAAGCTAAATTCAGGGGAGTGAAAATGGCATTTTCTAGTTTATAAGCATAACTTAGCAGGATATGTCTGTGTTCACATCTTAACGTGTTGGAGTGTCAGACTGCAGGAGTGACATGTGAGGAAAAGGAAGGGAAAAGCAGCCACAGCTGGAACACACACTCAGCACTTTGTGCTACCACCTCATTTACTGAAAATCCACAACAGAGTTGTGTTGCTGCATGTCTAAATGCAATTGCATCCTGTCATTAATGCAGGTAACAGCATCCTACAGGCTAAAGCAAAGCAAACAGGAACCACCTAAGTCTCATAAACATTCCTGATTTCACCCCACTCTCAAAGCATTTTCCTTCCAAGTTGGGATATCCCATCAAAATCCAATTATTAAGCAACAAGTAACTATTCAAACCTACTTCTAGCTCTGTGGCATGTGAAACAATCCTCTCAAAACTATCCCAAGGGCTCTAAATCCACGTCAAATAGTACATTTCCACCTACAAGGAGCAACAGGTCCCTCCCAGCATCAGTTGATCCTTCCCACACAGTTGGGCCAGGGGAAAACCCACCAGCCCCAGCCACTGCAGCACACAAGCTGCAGTGAAGAGTCCAAGAACTCTGCCTCCAAGCCCTGAAGGAGGCAAAGCCTGTGAAAAGGATTAAAAACAGTCTCAATTTCATTCCAAAACAACTTTCTCATGTCTCATACAGGCCAACAAATGCCTCCAGAGCACTTCATTGACCAAACAGCCTCAAATTCTCAGCCTTGAGATACAGATGGACTTGGACACTAATAAAAGTGACTGGAGCTGCTCAGCAACTCTGGAAACAAACCAGTTGCTTTGTAGCTGCTTTTTAAAACTCTATTAAGCACATTTTATGGTAACCAGGGCCAGATTTACACACATTAAAGAACAGTACGCCCTTGTGCAGCAACGAGAGCATCCCAGCTCTCACCTCACAGGTAAAGGTGAGCCCTAGAAGCTCAGCTGCTGCTGCAGCCAACTTTATCCCAGGGGAAAATATTTCCCCTCTAAACAGGGAGGAAGCAGGACCCAGGTCAGAGTCCAGCTGCTGAGCAAGAGCCTTTCCTGGGCTCCAGACACAGCACTGGGTTCAATTTCTGAGCTCTCAGGCAAGGCCCCATTGATTTCTTACTTCCACTTATTAACAACAAAGCAGCAGGGAATACCAGGGGTGATGAAACATGACATGACTATAACATTCATCCCACGGGGAAGCCACTCCACGCACACGTACACAGGGCAGGGAACACCACGCTGCAGTCTCAGGCCTGTTGGGTGTCTCCATCCAGTGATGGAGACATGGAGACAGGATCACTCTCAGATATTTAAGCATTTGCTTGCTAATATTATTATTTATATATTGACAAAGCACTCCATAAGTTGCTGCTACACAAAAGTCGGGTGAACTCAAAGCAAGATAACCACAGAGCTTATCTGTGTAGTTATGTCTGCAAATCAGCTCAGCAGATTGAACTCACAGGCACTCACTGAACCCACAGTCCTCTAAACATTCTTGATTGCTACATTCCAAAGTGATAAAGCATTAAAAC